TCTTTTTTAGTTTATAAGGGGCTTTTTAACTTGGGTATCATCCAAATTTTTATTTAAACTCTAAAAATAATAATAATTTATTTACTTTTTATTTTAAATTAGTTTATATATTTCGACCTCCGATATCATTTAAATGGATGGTTTTACAAAAAAACGTAAAATAGCTAATCTGTAAAAATTTGTTTAGTGTATTAATAAGCGAGTTATTAAGTTTTTATTATGTAAAAAATAATAAAAATGAAAATTATCGTCATTAAGGCAGAGTTAAAGGAAAAATTTTTTTTTTAAACTGTAAACAAATAATTTAAATGAATTTTTGTGGCGTTTTTCTCCATGTTTTTTTACATAACATTTTTTTATAACTATTTTTTTATAGCTATTTTTTATACCCTGTATATGTAATTTTCTAAAACTGAACAAATAAAGGAGAAAAGTCCAGGACGATTAATTAAGTATAATTAATCTACACAGATTCCGCTGTAAACGATTCTTGACATCAATTTTGAAATCACTTAATTTCGTTAATGCCAATACAAAGACGAGGAGGATTTAACTTTAATAATAAAACTACTTTTTGGGACCCAAGTTAATGGTGCAAACTAAAAATCGATATCTGGCAAGTAAGGAAGTTAAAGTACAATTTCTAAAGATAAATTGTCGCAAAATGGGAAGATTGATGGCTTTATAATATATTAATAGAATTTTATCAACAAATAATTAACTTAAGTGGTGAAGAAGTGTACTAATTATAATAATTATTATTTATATACAAATATTTGTTTAGTTTTAAATCTTAAAATTTAACAGCCTAAAATAGATTTAAAAACCTTCTAAAAATGACACAATTGTTAAATGAATTTTGTATGTTTCCTGTGCAAAAAATATACACTTGCGATTTTCTATTCAGGCTTTAAGTAGGTATATATGATTTTATAATGTGTATGTTATGCTGTCAAAAATGCGCTATTTTAATCTGACAGACGAACGGCAGTTTAAAACGAAAGCACTAAGAGTTTCCAAGTATCTTGCAATATTTATTTTTTTGTACACAATGTATATTATATATCTATCTAGAAGCCTATCAACGGTAAAAATAAGTGATGGAACTTCAAATTGTTTATTCATCTTCAATTAAAAAACCTCATAGGTTATAAAATAATTTAGACCGGTCGGGTAACGTTTTTTACCTCCTGGTCTGTAAAAACCTGTTTAGACCAATCAAAAATTCGACTACTGTCAGATATAAACTAGCCTCAATTTTTACTTTTAATAATTATTATAATTGTACGTTTTATGTATTGTTTAAAACAAATAAATTATATACTGAAGATCAAATGTGGTGTGTGCAGCATGCGGCTAAGAAGTGTCATTTTATACCTCCGCTAGTCAGCACAAAAGACTTACTTCCCATCTTTTTGACATAGATAATTATTATATATAAATTGTCCTGTCATTCATACAACTGTATATTTTTAAGTAACTTTAAGCAATTACAATGCGGTTTCTTTATATTATAAAAAGTGGTAACCTATGTAAGTAAAATTAGTCTTGCCTGAAATTTGCATTGCTTTTGTTTTTAAGTGACGCTGGTTGGTATCTCTACATCAGTAAGTGGACCCAGCGATGCGAGGGTAGCGTAATTTTTACCACTTTTCTAGTGGGTTTTTAATGAGTTTCTTCAAAAAGACGGTTTTATTAGGAAAAAAACAAATTTAAAATAACATCTCTTAAAGTAACCTATATTTTTAACCTTATAATATATCTTTTTATAACAGATTTGTCCAGAAGTATACTTGCATTATAATGCAATAATTTTAAAATAAGACCTTTTAAAAACGTTTTTAAAATTATAATATATTTTTTAAACAGGGTAGTCCAAAAGTAAAGGAACACAGCAGATTCTCAAAAAAAATTAATTTATTTATTTACTCATCTAAGAGTTTAAAATAACCAAAATACCAAATTTTGATTATTATTTTTTGGGATTTGGGAGTTTTTTGATCAAATTAATTCAAATTTGTACAAAGTTTTGATTTTACTGTTGAAAAGTGTTAAGTACATATGTAATAAAATTCAAAATTTCCTAAATAATATTGTTAAAATTTAATGTTGAAAATTGTACAGGGTGATCCCCTATAATGTCGCCCCCGTTTAACTTTTTATTTTAAGTGTGGTTATGTAGGTACTAAAAATATATTTTTTCTACGTATAAAGAAAATTGAAAAATTTATCAGTATACAGGGAAAAACGTTTATTTTTTTTCAATGGATCACCCTATATATGTATTTATTTTTCGATTCCTTGTAAAATTCTAAGCATATTTATATAACATACCATATACGTAAATTCAACCGTTTCTGAAATATTTCAATTATTTTTAAGATAATAAGTTGAAATAGTTTTTCTTTCTCTGTCTGAGTACGCCATGTTTACTTATTATGATTTCTAACAGTTTAAAAAAACATTTAATGATAACATTTCGAATGCAAATATTTCAGAAACGGTTGAATTTAGTTATATGGTATGTTATATGAAATATTGTTTCAACAATCTATATTTTGAAAATCACGAAATATTTAATAATTGCCAACACAGTCTAAATTAGAAAAAAACAATAGTACTAAGGCTATACATTAAATAAAAAAAAAACGCAAGAAATATTTTATAAAAGTAGAGATAATTTTAAGTATTGACAGGTGTGGACGAGACAAGATAAATCTTTTTTTATCCCGTCCACACCTTTTAATTATTACAATTATCTCTACTTTTATAAAAATACTTCTTGCGCTTTTTTTAATTTAATGTATAGCCTAATAGTAGAAGAATATTTTTGACAATTTTGATGCCAAAATATAATATAATAAATTATCTACATTTTTTTTTATAAAAACAGTTTTATAATTAGTAGGTTGGGTAACTTTTAAAAATTCTGAATATAATTACACAATCTTTTGCTTTTAATTGTGTCTCACAGCTTTTGCAAATTCTAAAATTATCCAAATAGCATTTTTCCAAAGCTTCATCAAAACTCCTATGTCATGGTGGTGTGACGTCATCAATGAGAATATTAAATGTAGGGGTGCCACAAGGCTCTGTACTAGGTCCCCTGCTTTTTTCATTTTTATTAACAATTTATTTTATATAAGTAAATTATATTCTCCTTGCTGACGACACAACAATCTTTTTACACAATGATTATACCAATTTTCTGATGAGACAGGTCAATGAGGCACAATTAAGGGCTAAAAACTGGTTCCTAAGCAAGAATTTTTACATAATAAAACTAAAACAAATGTTTTGTATTTTTTTTAGAGAGCATAACATAAGTGCTTAAAATGCAGTGAGGGACGTATGGTAAAGAATGTAGGGAAACATTCAATACGCTGGGTATACTTACCTTTAAATGCATTTACATTTTGCAAAACCGAATACGAGGTGTGTTCAGAAAATATTACAAATATTTATTTATTCGTCTACATTAATGTTGTCGCCTTAAAAATAGTCCCCATTGGATATTATGCACATGTGCCAGCTCTTCTTCCAATACTCGAAACACTTCTAAAACTCGATCTTTGGGATAGCCTTTAGTTCTTTCAGCGATGCGCTTTTAATGTCATAGATTCTAGGCTTGCAAAACGAAGGCCCTTTAAGGTTCTCTTTATTTTTGGGAATAGGAAAAACTCAGACAGAGGTATGTCTGGCGAATATGAAGGCTAAGGCATCATTACAGTATTGTTTTTGGCCAAAAATTTTGTTCAAAATTTAACAATTTTAGAACAAATTTTACTGCCACGCGTTTCATATCCAAAACATTCGAAAAAATTTTATGGGATGAGAAAATCGATATACCAACATCATCAGCGACTTCTCTGATGGTTTATAACCATTTTTTCCACTTTTTCCATGTTTTTATCAGTAACAACTGTTGTTAATGTGCTTGTGCGTTCAAGGCGTTCGTCATCTTCAACGTCTTCACGGCCATCTTGGAAACTCTTATACCACTTGTAAACTCTTGTTTTACTTATAGCAGAGTCACTATAGGCCTTTGTTAACATTTCACAGAATTTATTTCAATTTTTAATCAAAATTGGATACAAATTCTTTGATCCCTTTCTTTTAACGAACGATAAATCGCCGAGCTCATAAAACACGTCTAACCTTAGCGGCTGCCACAGACAAAGTAAACAATGAAAACAGCTAAGCTTTGGGGGCATGTATACCAACATAATAAAGAAAATTTGATAACAACCGGACCCTCCGAACCCGCGAAATTTAACAATTCCCGTTATTTTCTGAACACACCTCGTATATGTTAGATTTAATCTTGCTCTTACATAACTAAAATACACGAAACAGAGGTAACCCCAAACCAAGATTTATCAGGTTTAAAAAAGGACAAAACTTGTCTGTTTTTTTTTTATTTCGGGTTTATTAACAAATTCCTCAATAAGATTGCAGATTACAGAAACAGTTTTTAAAAACAAAATACTTTATATGATTTTATAGTTCTAATTACTATTTTGTGATGATTAATGTTTAGTATTTATTTAATTTCACTGTTTAAAAAACCCAAACAGTAAAATCAATAAATACTAAAAACTAATCATCTTGCTAAATAAAATTTAAAAACTACTATTATTATCATTAACCCAAAAATTACAAAAGTAACAGAACCTGAACTAAATTGGATTTTGAAAATATTTGATACGATTTAAACACATGGCATTAAAAATCAGCAAACTCAAAAAAAGTTAACTAAAACAATGTTTGGTATAAAATAATATAATATTGTTGTATGCAACCCAGTATACTTTCGACAGTAATAATAAGGTTTAATAAATTTCCACTTACCGTTTTAGTATTCTAAAGATATTAATTTTGAATGGGATTTATTTTTTATTAGGTCATATGAAAAAATGTATCTACATAATAATTTATTAAAAAAATATACAAACAGTAAGATATAATTTTATTTTTTAATACGTTTAAATTCACAGCCAGTAAAATTGAAGACAATTTAAAAAGAAAGGTTTTATAGGATGAAAAACCATCTAATATAAATACAATATTAACACGTATAGCATTATAATACACTAATAAAATTTCTACAAAAAATATATAATTATTTATAAAGCTCATAGGTATTTCAAGACCGTTGCGACGCGTCCTTCATAAAAATCTGAAACAAATTTTATATAAAAGTTTATTATTTTTTAGGAAGAAGCCAGGATTATGCATAATAGTTTTTTGTCCAATGTCTTTAAATAAGTAGGTATAAAGTATTTACCTTTTTGATGCGATGTTTAGACTGTCGTTATTTGACATTTATTTTCGTCAAGTCTCTCTTTTTGATTATCATTTTTGTCCCCTCCGTTCAGGTTGGTAATTTCGTTAAGTTTGTATTTTTCCTGGTCTCTTTGGATATGTTTTTGAATCAGGGAGATCCTGCCCTCGTTTTCTACATTTATCAGTTTTCCTGCAAAGTAATTATATTTCGCTAAATAAAGCTTTATGTCCTTTGAAAAGGAGAAATATAAACTAATTACATGTATGGCCGTATGGACAAATAAATGGAAGAACGTGAAAGTTATGAAAAAATTAATTTATACAGGGAAAATTTGATTTAAAAGCAACCAATAAATAATTAATTGTTTCAACTTTTACTTGATGAAACTCCATGTTGATATAAGGTTAATATAAACTACACTGTTTAAAGGTTCCACTATTTTATTTATATATGACAATTGTTTCACTACACAGTAGCGATCTGAAGATGCTAAGGGTTGGCTAGGTTGGCTAGGGGTTAAAGTTGAGGGGTTAAAAATATAAAAATAAATTGCCCCCTTAACACCAAAAACTGACGCGTGCGAGCGTTGAAAAGAAAACTGAGGTGGAAACTTTACATTGGCCCACCCTGTAAATATGGGAAACTTTTTTATTATTAATTTTATTAAAAAAAAATACCCCTTATAAAAATTTCTGCTTGGTGAAAAAATAATATAAGACCATTTAAACTTAAAATAGTATGTTCAGGGTGGTTATAAAATAGGATAAATCAAAAATGGCCCAAGATGGAACTTTTATATTATTAATTTAACGAAAAAATTACTCTGTATATCTACGTTGCGAGCGTTGTTTGTTTTTTTACGTAACACTTAAGAAAACCGGGCTGAAAACTTTCCATTGGCCCACTATGTATATACAGTGTGTCTACATTTGGGAAACTTTTTTATTATTAATTTCACTAAAAAAATTTACTGCTTATGAAACTTTTTGCTTCCTGAAAAAATAATGTTACACTATTTAAACTTAAAATAACATCCCTTAATTTTTATTTTAGAGCAAAATAAAATAAGTAAATGTTGCTAGAATTCAAGAATTATTGATATTTATAAAATGACCAATAAAATCTTACAAAGATAGATACCTATGTCGAGGTAAATGTGCAATAAGAGAAACATCAGTACATAAGTATTTTTGTTTAATTATTTACATGAAATGTTTGTTACTAAAATAATCATAATTGTATTTAAGAAATTAAAGGATCATGTTATTATCAATTATTTAAATGAATCACAAATATTACTGCAAAGCAGAGGTTAAGAAAATTAAGATAAATGATCATTTATCTTAATTTTCATTATTTCATTATTTTCATTAATCATGATTATTAGATTAAGTTGCAAATTTTAAAGGAGAATATTTATTTGTTATTTTTTAAATATTAAGAATTTTATACTAGAAGGTCGTGGTTTTAAAATAAGATATATCAATATATCATATACAGGGTGTCCCATAATTAGCGTGCAATACTTAAAAGCAGATTCTACGAACAAAAATAGGAAAAAATTCCTATAAACATAGGTCGAGAAATGCTTCCTAAGGGAGCAACAGCCCCCAAAAGAGGAGCCCCTGATGATGGTTTTTATTTTATATATCCAAAACCGTTCAAGATAGAAAAATGAATTTTTTTTTTGTTACACCTGTCTTTTTATTCCAGGTAAAGTTCAACAGGAGAACCTTTTTGTGTGTAAACATCAAAAGTAAAATAATCTGACATCAAATCCAGGGACAAGACACAAAAAAGTTGGGGTAGTTTTACCCTTACTCCCTATCTATCTGACCCTCGCCTTATGGAAAATTATAAATTGTTATTATTACATCTTATTGGCTTTAAAAAGTTTTATCAATTCCCAACATTTCACGTTTGTATCTTGAACGGTATTGCACTTATTAAATAAAAACCATCTGTAGGAGCTCCTCTTTTGAGGGCTGTAGCTCCCTTAGGAAGAATTTCTCGACGTATGTTTATGGGATTTTTTTTTCTTATTCTTGTAGTAGAATCTGCTGTTAATTTCATTACCATAATTTTTGCAGGAGCGAGCAAATAAATTATGTTTATTTTTTTTCTTGAAAATTAAACAAGATAGGGAAAACTTGCAAAAGACAAAAAAGATGTATTTTTAGTTAAATAATCTAAAAATAGTATTAAAGTTATAAAAAAGCAGTATCGTATAGTCAAATATTTATAGACCAACTATAGTTAGGATGCTACAGCGCCGGCTCTGGATGAACTAAATTTAATCCAATTAAAATAAATTAAGCCCTTAACCCATTACTAAAAACCTGACAAGTTTTATTAAATTCCGCCAAGTAAATTTTGAAATATAAAGAAAAATAAATATTTTTTGTAATATCTTGAAAACGGATACTTTCCTTCTTATTTTTGAGACTACCGATTAAAATCTGATAATATATAACATATATTTTATTACCTTTTGAATCATCGGATGACTTTAACACCAACGGAACTTGCAATCTGGTGGTAACACCAACGGTGAATGTTTCACTATACATTTCATTGCTTTGTGAATGCTGACTTACATGGAGCATTTCCAAAAAGGATTTTCTTAGCTAAAATAAAATAAAATCAATTTCCATTTAATTAAGCAAAAAAAATTAGCAAAAATAACTTTAAAAAGCACAACAACAAAAAAGAAAAAATACAAAGGGAATATATGTATATATCTGACATATAAAACCTTACACTATTATTCGGCTTCCTGTTAATTTCACTCTTACAGAAATATATTTTTTTGAAAAAAATATTTAACATTGAATTTTGTACCTAAAACAGATTTTTTTTCTAAAATATATTTAACCCTTGCAAGTTATATAAAATTTATTAAAAAACAGCTATTGTCAACACAATTTTGTAGAATCCTTTTTGATTTTCTAAATAAATACTGTTGACTGTTGACAAAAGCCCTTTTACTAAAACTTTATTTAAAAGTGTTACTTTTTATCTTCAAATTATTTATCACAACAAAAATTACAATTGCATTTGAAAAACATGCATTATTAATAAATATGGTAATAATTACAATAGTATACAATGATAGTATTTTAACATTTATTTTTCTAGTTATTTCTCATTCGTTTAATACACTTATCAATTATAGAAATGGCACGTGCCGTAAATGCGAACGCTTTGAAAGTCCTAACTTCTAACAACACATATAAAGAGAAAAAAATTTTCTATATAGTTTAAAAAAACAGTACCTACGTAGAGTGATAATAATAAAAATACTGTATTAAATGCTATTGTTTCATTGTATTAAAGTTTATTTTCAAATGTATACCTAAACACATTGTATACCGTGGGGTCACTAAAAAATAAAATGTAAATGTCAATCTTCAAAGTGGCATTCTTTACCATATGTTCTTAGGAACTTTTGTGCTGATGGAATTCAGAGACAGGGTGTATAAAAGCAATAGAACAATTTTAAATCTACTTGTATGAACAAAATCTCCCTTTGAAATTTTTTATAAAAAATAAATAAAAACTCGCTTTTACAGTACAAAACTTAAGAAAATAAGAGAAGATTTCTTGGATAGATAAAGTGCTTATAGTCTTTTTGAACACACTATACTAATGTAATTATCAGAATGACCCCCTCTTAATAGGGACTTTTATTAATTTTAACGTAATGTGGTAACGCTAAGGGTGTAAAATACGTTTGTAATACAATAATTTTGTTTCTTTTTTTTTTGTTAAATGTAAATAGAACATACACCTAACGTGTTAAATTAAAATTGCAGCAAAATAAATAACGCTTAAAACTAGTCGGGTGCTTAAACCAGGTCAACACAAATTACCTCAATTGGTGTCACAGATGGGATTTAGTTTACAGAATTAACCAATTTGTATTTTTTGGTTGAAAGGGTAATTAATTTTGCAAAACATTTATTTTAAACTACCACTAAGTACCTTAATTACTAACCTGGGTGTTCATACCAACATAAATTATAGGATTATAACAAATGCTGCTTTTCGCTATCAGAGCAGGAACTACTGATATTACAGGACTTATTAGCGATGCGTCCCAAAATTGTGCTATTAGAGAAACCACAGCATAGGGAGTCCAAGCAAAGAGAAAAGCTACTACCATTACCAATACCATGTAGGCTACCCTGTTTTCCGCTTTCGTTACTTGGCCGGCTTGCATATGGTTCTAAAACAACAGAACTAACTGAAATAATAAAAGAGAACAGAGTGAACCCCGTGAGGTAACCCATATGCATATCTCAGAAACTACTGAGGAAAACAATAATAGAATAATATTTTTTTATAATATGTTTTTATTTATAATATAAATTATATCTTTAAATCAATGGAAAGGTAAAAACTTTCTTATTTTCAATAAAACACCTTGTATTTTTTTAAATTTCTGGATTCTTAACACTTTTTAAGATACACCTACTTAGTAAATATATTACTTAAGAAAATTGTATATCTTTTTAAGTTTTCCAATACCAAAATTACTCTCTAAAAATGAATTAGTCGAAAATGACTAATTTAATAGTTATTAGTGGCTGATTTTTTACTTGTACCATGGTCAACCATGGAATACCATCGTATTCCAAAATTTAACAGCCAATTAATAATACGCCTCTGGCTGCTAAAAATGAGAAGAAATACAAAAATTTAAAATGGTATAAAATCTGTATAATTTGGATTTTTTAAGTGAAATTTGAAATTTATCGATAAACTATGGTAAATAATAAATTGCACCAATTAAATTTATATTATATATCTTTTTTTCGCAAACTTCAATTTAAATTCTGCTTGCGCAGAACTTGTTTATTTAATGTCAGTATACCTACATAATAAATGAGATGTCAGTATACCCAAAATCTACCAGCCGCCACTGAGGGAAAGAGGACAGAAATGCAACGAAAATTTCATGGCGCCAACCACTCCTTTTGGGCCAAAATGTCCAGGCAATTCAATCGGCTTCAACAACCTCCCCAAACATTGCAACATATGGCCTATACCAGCAATATATACTTTCGGTTTGTTACTTTTATTATATTTGCATCTTTTACTTTAATTACACATTTCTTAAAATTTAATAAATGTTTTTTTAATTTCTTTTCTTGTATTACAACGTCCATCGGTAAAACTATTATTTAAATTTTTTATTTTCATTTTCAAAAAACACCCGCCTTCCGCTGTCCGTAAGTTTGAATTCCAATAACTTTGTTAAAAATTATCGGATCTTATTGATTTAAAAACCAAGTGAAAGCCTAACAAGCCCTTAGTAAACTCTTTCAGAAAATGTTTGTTTAGTTATTTCAGAATATTTTTTTTTTAATTTTGAAACTTGTGAAACGCACATTTTCGCATGTCCCATTAGCGTTTTATAAAACTTACATACATGTTTTTTTTTTAAATAACCAGAACTTTGTGTTGCTTTATAGCAATCCATAACATCCTTAGTTAATGAAGTAAACAATTTATATATAAATTAATTAATTTTAATCTACTTTTTTTAAATTTGACTCATGTCCCAGACATTTTTTCTGTTGCGTTACGTCCGTCGCGTTACCGATAGAATATTTAAAAAAATATATATATGGCAACTTTTTTGGCACTCACATGATTAACAAATGATGTTCGGAGCTCATTGAGAGTAATTAATGACTGTAATATTTTATTATTATTTTTTAAATATGATTTCACAAAACTTTGTCCACTGCGTTACCGAGTCCATTACGTTACCTTATGGTAACGCAATGGAATTTAGGGTAACGCAATAAATTTTTCGACAACAAAGTGGATATTTACCGTCGCTTTTATTAAAAGTAGTTTATGATAAACCAATTTAAAATTATTTGTGATTACAACTCATGATATAGATTACATCCAAGGGAACACAGTAAAAAATATTTCGGTGTAAAGTTACCAAATGGAGTGGTAAAATCATTTGGTGTTAATTTATACACTAAAATTGGTCAAAAATATTAAGTGTTTATTTTAAATTGTGGTAAAATTCATTCTTGTTAATTTAAATTTATTTTACACAGCACCGTGTCAATCTAGTGTTAATTTAAAGATAAACTCGACGCAGTGTACATTTGACACTATTATTTGTTGACAGCTACACACATTGTGGTAAAAAAAGTCACGTAGTCATCACCATTCGCTAACGGCAAGGGAGCCGTCAGTATTCCGAGTGCAGTTGATGGTAGTGTACCTATGCATGCTATTTTAAGACCATGGTTTTTAAATTAAAATTCAGTGGTCGGGTAAAGTGGTGCAATGTGACAGTGGATGCAACTTATGTTTGTGATATAACATGTTTTTTTTACCTGTGATAAGTGAAATATGAAATTTAGTAAAATTTTAAGTTTTTTGAGCTAGTGAAAAATCATATTTAACTTATATACCTATAAGCTAAATATGGTTTTGCACAAACTGAAAAAAAAAATTAAAATATTAAGTACTACTTTTCATTCAAATAAAAAAAATTATTAACACTTCTTGGGTATAAGAATACACCTAAGTAGTGTTAATCATTTTTTTAAATTTCATGCCAAAGCCTATTTGTATTCATATCTAATAGTTTGTAAGTAATATAAAATATACTTTATTTTACATTACATGCTGTGTTTAATATTAAAACACCCACCATTTTTAACACCTACAAGTAACACCAAAATGTGTTGTAAATTACACCAAATTGGGCATTTTCTACTCTTGAATGGAGTTCTTTTACCAATATTGCGTGTTGCTTTTACCCCTAAGAGTGTATTATATTTGATGATGTTTTCACTGTTACGAGTTTTTTGTACGAATAGTACGTGTAGATTATTAACCAGTTAAAAAGGGTAAAATTTACCAAATTGTATGTGGTTAGATATACCATTTCTAGTGTGGACCTATATAGACCACTTTTGGTGTTGTTTTTTACCAGAAATTTTTTACTGTGAAAATTCCACGCAATATACAAGTACTAAAAGACACCAGCTTATAGTCAAAGAAAAAGGGTGTCTATAATTTAAAAATCCAAGTTGTTATTCTGCAAGTGAGCACCACTACAAGGGATTTTGTTTATGCATTACTCTAAAATCGTACCACCCTATATAGTTTCTTTTTTACGTTATCTGATTAAATCCTTTGTGTACCCCAGTCCGTTGTGATACCAATATCTATTTCGTTACTTTTTTTAGTTTTTGTTAAAAAAAATCCTTAAAATGATTTTACTATCACTTGGTAATACCTGTTTATAAATTAGAGTTTAACTCACTAATGCAGTGACTAAAAGAAAATATTAATGGTATTGTTTTTTTAACAAAGAATCGGAATGGTGTCTTATAAAAAGTAACTTAACTAACATAAATATTTAAAAAAGGCATACAATTTTTATTAAAAAATAAAATTGGAGTCAAAAGTTTGTGAACTAATTACATTTTATTTCAAATTATTTTTATAACAACTTTTTTTATTGAATTAAATTTAGGATTTCAAATTGGTAACACAGTGGAGACATATAAAGCTAGCTAAACACATTTTTCTTAAAAAAAGTAAAAAAAAATTAAGTGCACTGCCTGTCTTAAATGTAAGTAAACAAAACTCTAAACATTTATAAAAATACAACCAAAAGTTAATTTAAGCAAAAAAAAATTTTGATCTTCATTTTCCTGAAAGCGGGTGTTTCTTGAAAATGACCCATTTACGCTGACAATTAAAAAATTATTCTAATATCTAATACTTTAATTGTGGAGCGGAAGAAAGGATATTAGGTTTTCTATACAAATATATAAAAATATATAGGGTGTTCGTTTGAAAAAGAAAACGATTTTTAACTTGATATTTTCCACTATGTATAATATTTTGCAATAAAATTATTAGCAGCTCGTAGATTAGTTAATATTAAAAAAACATAATTTTTACCTGGGTATTTGTAACTTTTACTTTATTTTTAACTGTCTACATTTGAAGAAAATTTGTTTACTTAAGTAGTACTTAATCAATTTTCTTAACTAATATATTTACAAAGTATATCTTAAAAAGTGTTTAAAATCAAAAAATGGTGTTTCTTTTAAATTAAGAAAGTTGATATCTCAGGAAAAACCAAACACCATATTAAAAAAAAATGTTCTCCAGATTTTTTTGTGACACCTGTAGTTTCGGAAATAAGTACAAGGGCCACTTTACGTGGTTTACCCTATACTGTGTACATGTACTTCAATTACAATAATTATATATTTATTCTTGTTTTCCGCGTCCTTATTTTTAATAATTAATATTAGAAAATACGAAATCGTAAAAGCAAAACCTAGGTTAAACACGAAATATTATTGCTTTGGTAATCATTGATAAAGACTTCTTATTTTCAATCACAGTTTAAATGATATAATTCAAATTTTTAATAAAGATAAAACTTTATTCATACTTTTAATATGCTTACATATTTTAACATATTTTAAGTTAACATCAACTTTTACTTTTAAGCTATGGTTTATATTTGGATAATGTTATTTGTTTTAAAACATTTTTTACAATACTTAATTTATTATGATTTTTTAAAATCGCAAAGATTTTTAGTTTTTAGTTATAATTTCTTTAAAAATGCTCATCATTATGGGCCACCTGATATTACAAGTTGCTACGGGTTGATCATAACAGCCATAACAGTCATGATGCTGATGGTCATACGGGGGTATTTTTCCTTTTTCGGCGTTGTGTTACCTGTCTCCTCAAATTTTTTTCCCCAACTCTTAATTAATTTTACTGATGGAGCACAATTAATGTATCGTAAGCCATACACTGTTTAAAATATCTGTGGTGTAAAAAGTAATCTTAAAATGGTGTCAAAATCCAACACCAAGTGGTGTTAATATAACACCATGAATTATGGTTAAAAATGTGTACCGATCGCGGCAAAGGCGGTGTGGATCACGTGAGGTTCTTCAATCTCGCCTCTGTTGACTTACATGAAGAATATATAAACTCAGGTGGTCCTTTGCTTTGGTGTGACACTACAAGTTGTTCGATACTAAAGAGACCTTAAATAGGTGGAAACAGCTGTCAATACTTAAAGTATTTTAAGTTAGTGAAGCGCACTAAAAACATTATCTCTAGCGAGTTGAAGGTTCCATTTTCTGCAATAATACCACTAGTAATAATATACTAGTAATGCGTCAAGGAACTTCCTGTTTCCTTTTTTTCAGCAAACACATAATATTTAACACTGAAAAGGAGTTCAATTTACACCAGGTAAAATTTATTTTAATACTGTGTGAAAGTTAAATTAACACCATTTTAGTATTTGAATTTACACCGGCCAACGAACCATATTTAACACCATTTTGGTTTGTATCGATATAGACCATGTATGGTGTTAATTTGGTGTTAAAATGGTCATGAAATTTTGAACAGTGTAATGAGCCGAGAAAAATCTCCGCGCAGCGATCAAAACATTGTTGTTTTTTACGCGTAAAGCTAATCCTATAACTGATGTTATTTAATACTTAAATCGCGTAATTTCCAAATTAAAAAAAAATACATTGTTTTTTTCATGTTAATTAAATGAGAAAAATATATAAAGCGCGACCTCTAAATGATATCCAATTGCGCCAAATTTAAAGCTATTCTCGTGAGGTACAACCTGTTAAAGAAATAGAAGGAGAGCCGTTTAAAAATCATCTGTATTGTTGTTAAAGCTCGTTTTCTACAAAACCCACAGAATATTCTGCAGGTTTAATGGCTATAAACAACAATGCAAAGATGAAAATGCAGCGATTCAAATCTCTCCCTCAAAGAGATTTTGGGAGGCTCTGGTGTACAGATATTATACACAATTGTAGTATCCTATCCATCTCGATTTATAAAGGGTAAATCATATTTTATTGTTGTAAGTGCACTTCAATACCTGGAATCCGTTTTACGTCACTATTAAAAAGGCTTTTAGAATTAAAATATCTCTAAAGTGGAAACGTCGCATTCAATTAAATCAAGTCGATGCATTGAAATATAAAGATAAGAGCATCAGCTTTTAAAGTAAGTAAATGTATGTATTCTCTAATATTATGGTAAGATAATGATAAGATATTGTGATGGACAATAAGCCGATAAGGCTGTGAATTGCGAAGCAGTGTTTGGGCCTCTTTAGGCAAAATTTTTGTGTTAAGTTGTTATCGCTAATGAGACCTGGATCCAAACTATGGCCCAAGTAACAATCAAGATAATGTATGAGCACCACCAGACACGTTTTATAAAAATGACTGTAAAGTCCAAGCTAAAATATGAATCTATCAAAAATTTTCTATGTCGTCATTTGAAAGATGGTAATATAACCTTTCCTCGGGAACGCCATCTTTAAACCCGGGTACATATAGATCCACCCTTGTGTAAAAAAAAACATCTCTTTGGATCGCTTTTCATCAAACATAAAGTATCTTAACCAAACTTTCAGTGGAAATCAAAGCCTAAATAAATAATGATCTTAAATTTTATTCATTAAATAAAAAAAGTAGTTAGCAGGTAGGATTTAATGTATACACACTAAATAAGCAAGTTATGTATACTTTGTAGAATAATTTTGAATGTTGAGCAAATCTTGTCTTAAACTTTTAAATTCATTAGTAGTTAGTTTGTATGCAGTGAATGAAGGTTCATTTTCGCTAATTAGCCGTAAAGTTCAATTTAAAAATATACCGTTAGTATGTAATTTTATAATGTTAACTTAGAAACTATATATCATATTTGTTTAAAAAAGATTTATAATAATAAAAAGGGCACTTAATGTACTTACCTTTTTAATTGTGGAAATAATGTGAATATAACTATATATAATTACTACCAATGGGACTTTCAATCCAAAAATAAATAGATATATAATATACGTTTGGGCGTTGAATGTTTGCTCGGCCCAATTTACAGAACAACTGAAAATAAAATAAAAACATTGCAATTATGTGTGGCATATGGCTTAAGAAATACATTTTTTTTATTTAAAACCAATTCATTTCTTAACTTCAACCGATGCACCGTGGTGGACAAAATTTTACTGGCTGAAGTTAGCTTAATACAAATTGGAAAAAAGTGAGGTTAAAACTGCTTGACAGTTGCCAGATGTCAACTTAAATATCAAATAAAACAAGCTTGTGATAGTGAATATTGTTTGCGACTATTGGTCAAAAGAGGAGATCCCAGTTGCGAGTGATTAAACTCCAAGTTCAAGGAATCTTATCTTTGTCCCACTAGACGCACAATATCCCAAGTAGCATTAATGTGACCGAAAACTGATATTGCTACTTTAAATGAGTGCACCAGCAGAATATACTTTATAGTTTTATTACTTTTTGGTATATCAGTCTGGTATCTGAAACGATATGACCACGTTTGACACCACCTTAAAGTTTTCTAAACTTTAAAGTGCATTAGTTATAGTAATGGCAACCAACCCAAGTAGCATTATAGTGACGAAAACTGATACCACTTCAAATGAGTGACAATAACGTTTAAATAACTAAATCTACCACGATACAGTTAAAATATCTTCATATTATATTAGCATAGTTGTAATCATGTGATTTGCACCAGCAGAATATACTTTATAGTTTTAAAACTTTTTGGTGTATTAGTCTGGTATCTGAAATGTTATGACCACTTTTGACACCACCTTAAAGTTGTCTAAACTTTAGAGTGGATTATGTGTCCAAATCGCATCACTTAAGTATTACTTTGAAATGGTAGTAGTAGTAAAGTGGGTATATCAGTTTCGTTCTTGCTACATGCTTAAGTTATTTCCAGGTTTCGTATAAAATTACCACTCTAAAGTTCCCTTCTTTAAAAGCAGACATGTTTACAAATAATCGCCATTATAGGGAAATAAATGTGTAGTTTTAAGATAAATAATTTTGATATCCGCTAAATTTATAGATATTTTTATTCTTTTTTATTACCACATATCTCAACAGGGCGTTCTTATATTTCAAGCTATGAAACCTATGTTTAACAGTAAAATTTAATTCGTGTTAATTTTATGTCTTTGGATTATTTTATTTCTAGTTTAAAATCCAGTCAGAGAAAGCAAAGATAATACGATAAATAATATGCTGGAAAGAGACGGGGATAAAAAGTAAAGATTAGTAAAGTTACGATTAAATTTTGGTCACTATACCTCCACGTTATAGTAACGTAATCACAACGAGGTATTAACGTGTCTGTATACAATTCAAGAACATTGTTGAAACGTAACTGACACTAAAAAAGTGTTCCACATTTTAGTCACTTCCACGTAATAGAATCGTTTCTACCACGTGGGAGAGATTTTGGCAATATACTTTACAGTTCCAAGTATAAGTGGCCAACACGTTTTAACCACTATAAATGCTACTAGGGAAACCACATCACTTAAGTATTACTTGGAAGTGGTAGTGGTAGTAAAATGGGTATACTAGTTTTGACAACGTTTTTGTTTCCCAAACTTTGAAAGTGGCAAAACTTAATTGCAACGATCTAGCTTAAGTGATGTTAAACGGTTTGCATACATCCTATAGGAATACCACTTTAAAGTTCCCTTCTTTAAAAGCTGACATGTTTACAAATAGTCGCCATTGTAGGAAAATAAATGTGTAGTTCTAAACAAATAATTCTGGTTAAAAACTTAAAATTATTTTAATTTGAAACACTTTTCACCACGAACATCAATAAACTAAGCTAACTTCAACTTCATGTAAATTAAAACAAGATAAATAATTTTACATACATGTTTGGATTTTAATTCAAAGCTTTATTTCATTATAACCACTCCCTTTGTTTAGCAGAGTTTTATTTACTTTTATGCTATTATATTCTCCCCAATTAATCTCACATCTAATTAAGATCATAAAAAGCGATCTCTAATTTTATGTTAATTTTAATAAATACTGGTTTGTATTTTTATTTACAAAAATTTAAGTTTAACTCTTATATAAAAGTTATTTCACAAAAAATACTGTTTTCATTAGTACATTTATGTACAAATTGTACCAATTGGAGAAAATACTAAGCGATATGTGTAAAAGTAGTCAAAAGTGTGTTTTCGGAATGCATTAAATCCGACAAAATCGTGAAGGAGTAGTGTTACAATTTGATTTTTCATATAAAATAATAATATTAAAAACTATATAAAAACTAAAATATATATACAGGATGTTATATAATTAACGTGCAATACTTTAACATCAGATTCTACTTACAAAAATAAATAAAAAATCCTATAAAAATAGGTCGAGAAATGTTTCCTAAGGGAGCTACAGCCCCCGATATAGGTGCCCCTAAAAATGGTTTTTATTTAATATCTCCAATACCGTTCAAGATAGAAACGTGAAATTTTGGAAATTTATCAAACTTTGTATGGTCAATAAGATTAATTAATAACAATTTTAAATTTTTCATGACAAGTGGGTCAGATAGATAGGGAGTAAGGGTAAAACTACCTTAACTTTTTTGTGTGTGTCTTGTCCCACGATTTGATGTAAGATTATTTTATTTTCGAGATTTACACACAAAAATAGTTCCCTTTACCATTTTCACTTAAAATCGATTTGAAAATTACTTTACATGGCATAAAAATTCATAGTGAAATCACAACTAGAGAAAAAAAATCAGCTTGGGTCATGTAACACGGCTCTCATGTTAAGGAAAAAATATTCGAGACAGGTGCATAGATAACAAATCCTTGGATAGGTGACTTTTTATGCAATGTAACAGGAAGTTTGATCAATTCTTAAAATTTCATTTTTCTTTGGAGATATTAAATAAAAAGGGGGATGTAGCTCCCTTAGAAAGCATTTTTCGACTTACGTTTATGGGAACTTTTTTTCCTATTTTTGTACGTGGAATCTGTACGCTAATTATGGGAAACCTGTATAACAAAATTTTCATTACTGGAAAATAATGCTGACTGTTATAATTTTTTGTTTAATTTTTAAATTAAATTTGATTTTAAGGTTTTTTATAAAATACCTTGTAGGTAGTTGGATTCAACTTTAAAACAATATTTTAAACATTTAAGAAATGAAGTTTCATTTTTACTTTAACATTTTTTCTACATATTTTCGCACCATGTTTTGTTTTTAATTCAAAATACTATTAAATGCATCATGATTTAATGGTATTATTTCTGTATTAAAGCATTTGCGTGCGCAAAATAAGCGTGCGGAAAAGTACAACTTTGCGCACGCAGATGCGTGCTGATGTAGAAATAAGTTATTAGACTTTTTTGTATAAGAAATAATGTTTTAAAATATGCACGAGGAAAGGTCAATAATTAATTACAAAAAAATAGAAAAACATATTATTTTGGCCTTTCCTAGACGTCAAAAAGTTGTATTCGAAAATTTTTAAATTTCGTACCTTATATTGGCTGATTCCGTGACGTACTTGCCCCACCCAAAAAGGGGTGGAACGGTTAATATTGCAGAATATATCCAAATACCGAGCACTGTATATACAGAGCGTTTATTCGATAAGGTATATTTAGAAAACGCGTGACAAACTATCATATATCTTTCGAAAGCCAATACTGTTAACGTTGTTATTGAGGTTATACCTAAAAACAAAGAAAGTATATATTAGGTATGTAATTCTTGCAAAAAATGCTCTCAAAATATAAAAAAATAAACAAAACATATATTAAACATTATTTTGTGTTGATTTTCAATACATACACACAACCAAACCAGTAATACTGTTTATTTTACTCAGGAAAAGGGTGATAAAATAAAAAGCAGTTTATCAAATCCATTATATTACAATATAAACAAGTTTCATGTTTCATGTAATGTAGAATTTAAGAAAATTTAAAATGTTTTTGCTAATCAGTGTTGCCACCTCTGGCGTCAATGCAAGCACGAATTCACCGAAAGGAACATTTTCTCATTCCTCTAAAGCTGCCTCTTTTAGTTGTTCAGCATAGCCAAGGTTATTATGATGAGATCCAATCCTTTTTTTGACCATATCCCACAGGTGCTCTAAAACAGTCACACCCTCCATTTCTAAATAATGTTTGGGAACTCTAATGGTATGTGGAGGTGCATAAATAAAAAACAATCGCCAAAAACACGTCTCCAGGCCCTTATTACAGGTTGTAGCACTAAATCCACATACCTTGGATCTGTTAGTGTTCGGGTTTGTCAAAGCAAGGGAATTTCGAAAGATTTCATTTGTAGAAAAAAATATTTTTTCTACAAGCGAAAAGTAGCCATTTTTCGCACGTAACAACTTTTCTCACGCTTGTAGAAAAAAATGGTTAAATAACAAAGTGCAAAATATTTCCGGTGGAAGAATAGTATATTCTGTAACAAGTTTGGAATACAGCATATTCCGCTCGAGTGAAGAGTTTGTCACACAAGCCGAAGGCGAGTTTGACGGTTTTACGAGAGCGGAATATGCAATTCTAAACGTGTTTCAGACTATACTTTTTCTACGTTTCCAAAAAATACCATAGAAAAATAATTTAATTGGAAGAAAGTGAGGTTGGATCGGTCTAAAATTTGTTAGATATTAAAAACAGAGATGTCGCCATGAGTGTTTATTCCGTAATCAGATGATAGAATATTTCATTCTGTAACACTTTACGGAATATATGTCATTCCATAGAAAAAAGTGATATTAGAAGGGTCAAATTCCGTAATAGGAGTAGAAAAAATAATTTTTAAATTGATATTGTATTAGAGAACAAATTTTAATAAATACATTTTATTTTTTAAACATATGAAATACATTGAGACTACAGGCATTTGGGCCACAGTTAACCCAGTTATGCCAATATTGGCTGCATCAACCCATTATTTACCTATAGTGAATTTTCTATACTTTAAAAGAGCAGGGCATCCATAAATACTTTAAATCAGTTTTACTTTCCTCCAGCTTTGCACAAAGGACTGCACTTTTCTTATCGTATATAGATGTTTGTTAAGTCTAAAGTGTCCGTTATCATTTCGACAAGGTCAGAAAGGTTTAAAAGAGAGAGATTTGTAGGTCAGCTTTTGTGGTGAGCAAAATAAATTCCCTCTTTTCAAGATTTACATACCTACAGGAAATTACACAAATTTTTAAGTATGTTTAGAGCGGTCTGCATTAGATCGCACAGGGTGCTTTCAATTTTGCCCATTAGCATGATAGTAATATCATCAGCGAGACCAACGTTTAGCGTTATATGAATATTGTGCTCTGAAGTTTCTTTATTCCACCCTTATAGGTATAATCCTAGTTTTATTAAATTGAAAATGTTTATGTGCGGTAATTAATACCAAAGTGAAATTGGGGAATAATAAATCAGAGTAATATAAACAGTGACCTTTTGAAAATAGTGCCAAGCACTCAAGGTCTTTTATTTGATTTACTTTGATTAAAATCTGGCCCCTCTCCTATTGGCCAATCATATAAAATTGATAAATTTTTATTGATTTGATTGCTTTTCATATAAAATCAAAACTAGGATTTTTTAAGGAGAGAAAGAGACAATTCGTTCGCGAAAAGAACTAAACTTACTATTGGGTCATATTTGTTTTAAAAAATAGTAGTGGTACATAAATAAATTCTAAATGTAATGATATACTGTTTCAGTCGTAAAAGGAAATTCTAGCTACTTTGTCATAGAGGCGAATATGACAATGATGAGTGATTAACCTTATATTATTATATTAGAAATATATTTCTTTCATTACACTGCTATGTCCCTTAAATCCATGCGGGTATGAAATAGACCAATAAAATTATTTTATTCCAATAAATTATTTCAAATGTTTACCCAATTTCATTAAATATAACAATTCATTATTTCAAATAATTGTTACCCGTTCTTTTGGGTTATCGATTATCGCAAAAGGGTTCAATAAGGAAAAATCCTTCAATCAATAAGACAAACAGAAGATTGTTAACAACTAAATTCCATACTAGTAGCGAGATTACTTCTCCTTGGGGTCAACTTTTGATTACTACTATTCTATATTGTGGCATATGCCATGTGCAAAGCATAGAACGAACACCTTGCTTCCCAAGAATTGCTTCTATGGATTTAAAAGAGGCCTTAACAAAGTCTCCTTGTATGTCTAGAAATACCCCCAGTTTGGACATTTCATTGTCAAAGAATCAATTTGAAAAATTTACAAATATTCCCAACCAGTTCTAAGCTAGTTTTCCCCACCAGGAAAAATATTACATGACTAGTCAGAAACTAGTAGGGATTCCTAGCCAGGCTAGGGAATCTAGCTAGCGCCCTTAAATTTCTACTAGGGTAAATTGTATTGTGCTGTCCATGGATCTTGTATAAGGCAGATTTTATATTTCATATCAGATTTTAAATTTCATATTTTCGTCTCTCGACAGTTTTGCAAATTATTCTGAATAAATTCTACTTCAGAGTTGATGTATTTATTTTAGAATCAAAGAAAAACACATCCAAACAAAAAAAATTAAAAGGTCAAGAACTTGTTCCGAAAGACATGTATTCCTATTTATTTTAAACCGTTAAATTCAAATCAACTGTTTCTTTTTTTAAGGTTATGTCAAAAGCCAATCGTGAAAGGTTAGTACCTTGCACGAAGCGTTTTATGTTTTTCAACGAGATGCATGTTGCATGTAAGTTTAATCTTGATCTACTGGTGAATTTTAGATATATCTTTTCTCAGGTAAAATAAAAGTTTTTTTAATTGAAATTTGCCGTTGCATTTGATTGAATACTAGCCTTAATGTATTACTTGACAGCCGCATAGATATATCTTGTAAAGGCTGCCTGTTTAACCTTTTTACGCGGCTTAACATAGGTTATTCTTTCAGAATCTTTTACTTTTAAATTGCCTCCTTTTATAATATGGGACAGTTCCTGGATCTCACTAAATGCGATTCACCACAGTTTACTGTCCCTCGTGATTTGGGTTGCAGCAGCGAAGAGGATGTATGGTCTAACTTTCGAGCGGTAAAGGGCATATTTTGAAAGAGATGGTTTATCAAAATATAAGACTGGCAGTTTCAAAAGTTCTGCCTGCTTTCTTTTTTAGTCCGGTCAAATTAGACATAAAAATAGTGGTTAAATAACAAAAATTCCGACAGAGCTAAATTTTGGTAGAGACCTTGGGTACACCAGTAGAAATAAAATGCCAAAAGTCCCCATTGATCCCATGTGTGCTAAAAAAGTTACTCAAGGTCAAAGTTAAAATTTTCTTTTTTTTTTTATTTTTCTCGAAAACGGTAAGTTTTATCAAAAATATAGCCCAAACAAAAATTGTAGATCATAAAATTATCTACAAAAACTTTTTTCATACTTTTTTTCCTAAGAATCACCATTCCTAAGATATCGCCATTCTAAAAGTTCGAGGAGTTACATTCTACATGATATGCACACATTTCCACGCCACCTATGAGGAAGTGTACTTGGCGCTTTTTTTTAACGTGGTTTTCCCAGTAGACCTATTCCACGAGTTTTATGGGAACATACTGTATTTACTGCATGATGATTAGTGATATTGATATAGGTGATTATTTTACACTGTAGTTATATTTTACGTTAATATTTTAATCTGATTCATACTCTTCAAATTCCACTTCAACAGTCATGTCTTTTTCCTCTTCTTCTTGCTGGATGTCCATAAATTGTTCAACTGAAGATGAATCAGCAGTCTCTTCATCGATATCAAACGAATCTTCGTCTATATGATTGGATTAAACATTCGAGCAAGACTGGCCTTGGCAATTAGTACACGCTGGTGAACACGACAATCCTACTCTTCTACAGCCACATTTAGCACTACAAACCTTTTTACAATCGCAAAAAATAGAGTTTTTCCGGTGCAGGTGGGAGGATAGTTTGATTCGATTCCAAAATATTGTCTGTTAATTTCCAACCCCAGTCTTCGGGGTTTAGTTGATTGCCTAGCCATGTCTGAACCTGATAAAATGCTCGATACAAGTGTGTGGTAGCCGATGTTGGAGGAAGACAAGATATATCTATACAACTATAGTTGTACTTGTTTCTTTTTCCGTGTATTTTTTTTACAAAAGTTAAATATCTATACTTGTCTATACAATCAATTTTCTTTGGAGCTCCATAAACAGCAAGGAGAAAGCGAATTCCTTTTGTAATTATCGTTTGAGGAGAAGATTCAATTTCTTCAAATACTTTAGCGCAATCAATTAAATCCATTTTTTCAAATAATTTTAATACTGATGTTTTACCCCTTCTGAACATTGCTGATGTAGTATCGCAGCCGGTTATCGCATGTAAAAATAAAATATAGTTTTGGCATTTTGGATAAGCAGATAAACTTTTTGAGGAGTATATTTCTGTTCGCTGTTGAGCCTTTTCAGGTTTTAAAAAGAAAATAATTTTATCAATTGGAGTCCGTGCAGTAAGTAGTACTAACAAATCAACATCTTTACGAACCACAATGGTTGTATTTGTTGCATTGAGTTGTTCAATTGCTGTATCTTTTTTTTTATTTAAGTTTTTTTTATCAGACCAGGTTTGACTTAAAATGTCTTGGTAATTGTCGACGAAACAATAATAATTCTACTACCATTCTTTACTTTTAATCGTATTTTTATAGTTTT